GAACAGATGTATATATATAGTACTCGATCTCTGCTATCCAAACATATAATTGAATTGAATTAATGTTGTGTAGTTTAAATACACGACTCAAAACAAAAAAGTGGTGCGAGACTTTTGACGTCCACTGTATATCGTTTTCTTTTATGTGATAAACTAAACCAATTATACAGATGAGCTTCATCTTAATTATTACTTTTTATTTGAAGCTTTTCGAATAAGGACAGCGTTAGGTTTTTTCATGCCATCCGATTCGTGTTGATAATAAAAAGAAAAGTTTCACAGTACATAGTGTAAGCTGTAACTCAAATCCAATGAAAGAAAAAAAAACAATTTTGCTATGAGTCATCAACATGAACAAGAGTTCGTTTAAAATGATGACTATCTCTTCTCTAGGAATTTTGCTCATTTTTCATTATTATGAACAAAACAGAAATATCGACCACCATTCATCGTAATCATTCTAGTCGAGATTCTATCCCTACATATTACTTGAGTACGAATGCAAACGACTTCTCAGTTTGTTCAATTGCACTATTCGACAGTAAAACTTATCTATCACTTTGAACTTTTGTCTATTGTGTTTTTCAAATCACAATATAAAAATTTTGTTGTGTTTTTTATCTGAAAATTAGATGATATTTGAACTTTCCTTTGAAAAAAACTAAGAAAGACAAACAAGTTTGAGTTAAGAAGTCGATTTTATAATAAAGTATCAAAGTTATCAGATGCTATCTAGAATAAGACTCATATAACACTAGTTACTGTTAAGATATAATCGTTATTCTATGCAAGGTTTTATTTCTGTTACAATTTCGACTCATTTTATTAATTTGAAGTGTGAGTGTAAAGGTTCTTTTTGCGCACACACCAGGCCCACATCCAATAACATCTTCAATTTGTTGCACATCCGAAAATACAGAACTTTCAGTCTCTTAAATTTCTTTCAAACAAACCTATTAAACAGAAATATTCAAGTCAAAAAGAGTAAGATAATTGACTGTGTTGGTTTATTATTTTGAAACAATTGCTAAATCACTTGATGCTAAATCCTCCATGTTGAAAATATTCTTTATTTAGTTTTTTTTTGTTTTTTTATAAAATAACTAATAAAATTTTCAGATTTTTATTCGAGTGAACAAATCTGATTTAAAATGGAAACTAAACAACTTATAGAAATGAAGTTAAGTATCGACGAAGAGTTCAAGAAATATTTTTAATTTTTCTTTGAGGACACAATCAAGTTTTGATTTGATTGAGATTTTAGAAGACATGTCAAGCAATCTTTGGAGAAATATGAATAAAAGATGGAACGTGATTCGATTGGTTCAAACACACTGAAATCACTTTCACACAATGTTGCATGTAGCGTGTGTGTGTATAACTTATCTTAGCCCTAATTCACTGATCGTTTTATAATTTGTAGGATATAGAATTTGATATGCGCCAGATGGTGCCAGTTTACAAAAGAATTTCGGAACCTTCCAGAAAAAAGATTTATATCAAAATAATATCTTCTTGAAGTCAAGTTTAAAATAAATTTAAACAATTTTTGAAAATCGAGATCAGAACTATGACTCATCATTCATTAGTTCTATACTTGTCTTCTTATGCCTTGACTTTTTTTGCTAGGTAGTCTTTGTACATTTTAACCGATCTTCGTTTCGGATGATTACCTCTGTTTTTCAATGTAACGTGTCATATGCAAAAGAGAACAATAATAGTTTCATTGCATAGACAATATCAAAAGAAAGCTTTAATGTTGTAAGGATCAATATTTATTTTATTTTATTTATTTGAGCTTGATATGAGATTAAATGGCAACGATCCATGCAAAAGCAAAGCCTAACTACAAACTGATATACATACTTTTCATGATCTTTGTACTATTTTTAACTGGATCCATGCATGCAGGTACCGAAATGAGAGTCGTTTAGTATACCATGATTTAATTTCTCTATTTTATGTGAAGTGATTAATTATCCAACCCAGCCACTTCCTCATGTTGTCGTCAATTTCAACAGAGTTTATCGAAATATCGTGTTAACGCAAGGAGAAGTATATTTTGTGAATGGTACTGCCTATGATTTTTATTCAATCGACGAACTGAACGGTCGATCAAAACCAGGTTTACAATGGAAAACATTTCCATTGCCAAATGAAGATTTACCTGCAAATATGACTCCTTGGACACCTCATAATGATAAACGAAAGAAAAAAATATTTGTTGGTATACCAACCTATCCAGAACCTGGTACTGGTCTTGCATTTGTTGATCATATTTATATTGCTGGCTCACCAAATTTAACTGATCGTCGTGCCAATTTGAAAAGATTAATGAAAGAATATCAGATCGCTAATTATGAGTGGCGTGAGAAATGGTCACCAACTAATTGTTACTCGGTACAAAATCGTGAAGAAATATTTCGGAAGCTTAATTTATACACTAAGTTCAAGTGTAAGAATCATTGCATCTTTTCTCATATATTGTTTGATGAATAGTTATAATATATTTTATAGTAACTCGAAGGACACAACGAAGATGCGCAATTACAATGGAACACATTGATATCTGGTATGATATAATTAAACGTAACTCTTCTTTATCACTGATTCTTGAAGATGATGCTGTATTTGTACCGAACTTTCGAGAGAAATTCGATCGGACGATTTATACAGCGATTCACACAGGTGCACTAAAAATACAAGGACTGACAAATTGTATTAATAAATCCATTTTATTGCCTGAAAGTAAAGAAGGATGGTTTGAACAAGATCCAATGATTTTCGTGGGTGGTTGTTTATATAAGCATGATAGAACTTTTGAAAAGAATCGAAAAGATGCACAACCAATATTATCTACACATAAAACAACTGCGACACGATGTACTCATGCTTATTTATTAACTGCTTGCTCAGCTCAGGCTCTATTACGTCAGATTGCTGTTAAAATAAATGTTTTTCTTCAAATTGATTATCTTTTGGATGTTATTGTAGATGAAGCACCGACACTTCAGTCATTTTGGCTTGATCCTCCGATTGTATATCAAGGAAATCATATTGCTGACCTAGATGGAATTCCATCCTTTCATCGTACAGTATACTAATTCTACTCGTAGTCAATAGATTCTATTAATAATAAGATCTTTAATGTTTTGTTGTATTTATTCGTGGATATCAATACCTAATGCACACACACCGCTATACCAATAAAGATATAATTGATTTTTAGTATAATCGATTAATAAAGAAAATAAAAAAAGATTGATTACAAGTGTTTTTCTTTTACGATGCACATATTTCTATAATCATCTGTGAAATACATGATCAAAGTAATGATAATGCATTCATACTGTGAGAAAATAAAAAACGATGAAAAGTATTCTAGCTTTTCTATGTTGATCTCAACAAGCCAATTTCAAACAAAGCAAGCCCTCTATCTATACTAACATGAATCATAAAAAAAAAGTGCTCAGTATCTTGAGATAATTCATGAATTATTCGTTTGACAATATCCAACTGAAAACCATTGGTAACCTATAGCTCACTATAAAATTCTATTTTAATGCCTTGTTTAATTGATACAAAATAAAAACGATAGATAAATAAGCATGTCAGCTAATAAATTAAACAATAATTCGAATAATAAAAAAGACAAATCGTATTATTAGAAAAAGCTTCAAAATTTTAGAAAAAATGGCGTACATTAGTAATATTTCAACAAATAATTCCATGACAAACACGTGATAGACTTCGATTATCTCATCAAGTTATTAATCATTAATCATTATGAAATTGTACTGAAGAACTTTTTAAACAATAAGCTTTTTTAGCTACGCTCTATGTATATGAAAAACACTATAAAAATTATGTAGTCTTATTAAGATGAAACATATTTTTAATGTCCATAATATTTGCCTGACCATTATGGAAGTCCATTTTCATCTGTAGAAGCTAATATTAGTCTTGATGCAAACATTTTATGAATTACATCTTTTGGAAAAAAATATTTAATATTTGGAAATTTTAATCTATTACAAGCAGTTGATTTGAAATCATCAACATTAAAACGATTAAAAAAAATCTTATGAAAGGTTTTTAATTATAGCAGCAAAACATCCACCACGTGAACAAACAATGTAGGTATTAATATTCTCTTCATTCACCCATATTCTCATGTAAGGTCATCATTCATAAAATATGGGTATTATAAATATGATACAGTAAGAACACACATATCTAGGTTGTTATGTCGTCATCATCAATGAAACCAATGATAAAACTAGAAAGGACAATAATATTTATAAGAGATAAGAATATACTCGATGCTTTTTTTTTCTTCTTTTATCTCTATGTATGCACATACGTAAAAAAACGGGAACCATGAATACATTCTTTCTTTTCTGTTGTCAATACTACTTTTCTCTGTAACTTTTATCGTAAGTTGCATTGGTAAGGATCGAAATATCTAATGTTGAGCTTATGACTTGCACAAATAATATAACATTCATTAGCTGTCATACGAGGTTCTACTGCACGAAAATTTGATGCAAGTGCAATCTCGTATATAATATTCGACAATTATGAGATAATCAAAAAAACATTTCATTTTGTTTTTCAATTCAAGAAGAATCATCGCATTCAACGAGATCCTTTCAGATCTGCTTCTCCACATAGAAGAGTCTAATCATGCTTGAAGAGAATTTTATTATAGAATAAAATTGTGTACTTCGTATGCTATGATGAGCGTTCGTAAGCGTTCAGTTAATTAATTTTGTGCATTTTCATTGGATTCATCATTATTTGAGAAAGGTCATTTTGTTATACTATGATAATATTTTACTCTCGATGATCATGAGCCGATTTGAAGATAGAAATCATGCATTTCTGCTCCAACCTTTTTATATTATGTAATGCTATCACACTTTTATGAGACAAACTGTTTTAGAGTATGATGACACCCTACTGTTTGTCTTCGTTGTGTTTCTTTTGTTCTTATCATTTGAGCTTTTCGTTTCTATCGTTTACCTGATAATGATAGAATATATATAAACTACTTCACGTTAGATTTATACTTTATAACTATCTCACTTTGTGTTAGTTTTACTCTATCCTACTAAATCAATTTGTGTTGTTAGCATAAAGAAAACAGAGATAGACATGAATAATGGCGAAACATTGCCGAAGATACTGGACGTAATAATCGTAGGCGCTGGCTTCTCAGGACTTTACATGTTATATCGTTTACGTGAACGCAATTTTTCAGTAAAAATTCTTGAGGCTGGTAATGGCATTGGTGGTACATGGTATTGGAATCGTTATCCAGGTGCACGTTGTGATATTGAAAGCATGCAGTACTCGTATTCATTCTCGGAAGAATTGCAACAAGAATGGAAATGGTCGGAAATATTTTCTTCTCAGCCAGAAATTTTGTGTTATCTCAATTATGTTGCTGATAAATTTGATCTTCGCAAAGATGTTCAATTTGGTACTCGAGTGAATGCGGCTTTTTTCGATGAGACACATTCATGTTGGGAAGTACACACAAATGGAGGAGATCGATTCTTCGCCAAGTTTTGCATAATGGCCACCGGTTGTCTCTCGGCAGCTCGGATTCCACAGATTAAAGGGTTTGATACTTTCAAGGGTCAACACTATCATACAGGTCGATGGCCACATACAAATATTAGCTTTAATGGACGTCGTGTGGCTGTCATTGGCACTGGTTCCTCTGGTATACAATCGATTCCTGTCATCGCCGAACAAGCAGATCATGTCTTTGTATTTCAACGAACACCAAATTTTAGTATTCCTTCTCACAATGGACCCCTCAAAGCTGAATACGAACAATGGTGGAAATCAAATTACGCAGAGTATCGACGGCAGATCTCTGAAACACCATTCGGATTCATAGACAAAAGCAATAGAAACATTTCAGCAACTGCTATCACGCCAGAAGAATGTCAACATGAATTGGAGGAAAGATGGCAAACTGGTGGTCTCGATTTTTTATTAAGCTTCAATGATCTCTTTGTCAATAAGGAATCCAATGATGCAGCAGCTGAATTTGTACGCACTAAGATTCGTGAAACTGTCAAAAATCCCGAAGTGGCAGAGGCTTTGGTTCCACATAATTATCCATTAGGTACCAAGCGTCTGTGTGTCGACAGTAACTACTTTCAAACCTTTAATCGTGACAATGTGACGTTAGTCGATCTGCGAAACGGACCAATCGATGAAATAATACCCAACGGCATTCGTATCAAGGAAAAAGTCTACGAAGTGGATGATATTGTATTTGCAACGGGATTTGATGCAATGACTGGAGCTTTGTTGGAAATTAATATTCGTGGTCGTTCTTGCAAGACACTTCAAGATAAATGGGCAGAAGGTCCTCGCACCTATCTTGGTTTGATGATGGCTGATTTTCCGAATTTTTTCATTATCACTGGTCCTGGCAGTCCATCGGTACTAACCAATATGCTTCCCTCTATAGAGCAACATGTCGATTGGATAGCTGAATGTCTTAACTATCTTCGTACGCATCATTACATTACGATTGAACCGCAAGTAGAAGCAGAAAATGCCTGGATGCTTCATGTGAATGAAATCGCCAATGTTACTCTCTTTCCTCTGGCGAACTCATGGTACGTTGGGGCAAATATCGATGGTAAACCGAGAATCTTTATGCCGTATGTGGGCGGTTTGAATGTATATAGAAAAAAGTGTCAGGAGATTGTCAACAACGGCTATGAAGGATTTACGTGTGTAAAGGACACTCACTGAATCATATGATTGAAAAATTGTTAAAATCACTACTATTAACAGGATGTGAACGTTTTCTCTCAATGAAAAGAAAACGATGAAACTATATGCAGAGAGTGTGGGTGTGAGCCTCTTAATAATTCTTCCCGATCCATATTTCGATATTTCTAATCTAAAGCAAACTCAGTCATACATCCCAAGAAGCTCGCTTCATATTTTTTTCGATGCTAATGTAATCATCTGAGTATTTGCTTGTTAAGAAAAAGGCCATTGGTGGCTGCAATCATTGACTCATAGGCCCTTAACTTTTTTATATTCATGTTAGCTTTCGAAGTTGTCTTTGAAAGATTACTTTATGTGTCATGAGACCATGACCGAAGACGTTATCACTTGTTTATCCAACTTTCAAAAGTTCAGCTACAAAGGTAATATTGAAAAACAGGTAAGAGAGATAGAAAATAGTCACTTTTGTTTTTCATTAGTGAGACAAATAAAACGAAGTCATCTGTAATGTTAAATGTAAAACACATGTGGTAAATCGAGTTACAAGATCTTTCCTGTGGACAGGTGCATTTGGTTATCAATCGATAGAAAAATAATCTGAGACTGGTGACGACGACATGTTCCGGCAAATATATGTTGATACCAAAACAATGTAGTCAAGACAACGATCAATCATATTACTAGACTTTATGATAACAGCTTCAACAGTATAATAAAGTGTATGATCAGTTGAATAAAAACTTGATAATATTTTCGTTGCATGAAAAGGAGGATCTTTTCTTTTGAATTCTAGATTTTTTTTACCAATGTTGAAAGTGGTATTCTACTGGCTGGTTATGTTGGAGTCCGTGTTAAGTACAAATACTTTCACAAAGTTAAAATTGACATTTGATGAATATTTCTATCATTCAAATTATGTGTCATTGAGTGTTTCACCTAATGGTCAATATTTGCTAATTCATATTCGACATCCAAATTGGAAGAGCGATTCATTCAAGAACAGTTTTTGATTATATGAAACTCAAACACAAAGGAGAAAACTCATTACAAAAAAAACTTTTGAGAACTATCAAACCAAAATGGTTACGAAACGGCAATTGGATTACATTACTGCTCCATGACAACTCAACAACAAATATGGAAAACGACAAATATATTTATCTCTATTCTATTGTCTTGATATCGATAAGAAACATCGAATACTTGTGAAGAAAATTTCCTTTCAAATCAGTGAATTACTCTTTTCTCCAGTTGAACAAATGCCTATTGTGGGATCAGCAACACAACTCTATGAGTATATGGAAAATTTTGAACTCTATTCGTTTCATCTACACAATGTTACATTAATGTCGAAATTGACCAACAATGAACAAATCGAACGGTTAGCTAAAGATTTTGACGGGTATATTACTGGGTATGCCTTTTCGATCCGATGGAGGAGTTTACATACTTGGTCAATTCGGAATAAACCTTTAAATTTATACACAACGATCTATCAGAATGAATCATCTATCTATTACTTAGATAAAGTACGTACACCTACACATATTATCGCGGATGAAAATGAGTTACGAATACTTGTCAAGTTACTAGTGTTTCGGAATGAAGAGCATTCGTTATGCAAAAAACCTTGCATGGCCAAGTTAGAGTTCGGGAAGAATTGAAATGGTTACAAAAATATGGTCACAAATACCAATGTAGAAACATAAAACTTAAGTCGATGAAAATTAAAAACAAATGATTTTCATTCTTTAGAATTAGTGGTATATAAAAGAGACAAACATGAGTGTGAGTGTGAATGAATGTGTGGATAGGGCTCTTCTATTAGCTCACACACACCCTAGCTGTATATTTATTGTAGAAAAAACGTAGTCTTTTTTTAGATTACCTTCTTGTATCATTAATTATGTGATCAATAAGCAATACGATTATGTAGTATGTATGTAGATCAAAATGGTAGGGAAGAGTCTGAAATTATTCACTCGTTCTGTTCATTCGAACAGACATTGTATTTTATATTTACAGAAGATATTTGTTTATTTGATACAATCATGAAACAAGAGAATGTTGATAACGATGCAAACCACCATACATTGTGCCATGTTCATCCTTTTGTAATAAGACTAGGCAATATGTTTAAGTGTCATCAATCAAGACAATCAAAAACAATTTTTTTGGATTATTGTTCGTCATTTCAAGTTGACAGCGAAACATAATGCATTTATAACCATTCAAGCTACGTAAAGTTAATTAATCAATATCGGTGGTGGTATATCAGCAGTGTCAGAAACATCCAAATACACCAACAATCTTCACTATACTAGTACAAAAACAGTAAGGCTATCACCATCTCATTCATTCGTTTGTCTAGTTCTTATTGATGTTCATTCAAACGAAACGAACAAAAGTGTTTATCAGATGCAACATAAGGTTTGTGAACTCCCGTTGATGCCATGACGCCATCTAGAAACAAAAAACAAATAATTGTTCATCGTATAAATAATCGTCCAACTACAGTGGCATCTTGCTATTTGATTCGACTGACACATGAAAATGCGACACGTGGTTGAAAGTTTCATGAAAAATATCACATCACTCTATGACACACACATGTAGAACGAAACAATCGGTGTTCTTCTATTGTGAAACACTGGCTAATATGAAATGGAAAAGAAAAGATTTTGATGTAGAAAGAGAAAGAATAAAAATAAAGTAAAATTTTTCACATCATCGTAATGTTTGTTCTTGACGCACATATTTTTGTCTTACAAATATTGATACAATATACCTTACAGATGCTCTCGATGAGTAAAGGTTGTAGTTCCTGTTTTTTCATATTATATTGACTTTTACAGGAAGAATTTTTTCGTCACATATCATTTAGAGTTGTGGATGATGATCCTAGCTCCACATCCTCTCGCTTCACACACATATCTTACTTTGGTTAGATGGCGGTAATTGACGTGTGTTCTTCCTTTTATTAAGTTGGAAATCTATGAATCATTACTCTGAAAACGTGTGGTATTGCTTCACTTTTCTTTCTGTTGAAGAAAAAAACCAAGTTACTAGTGATTGCTGCAAACATTTCGAAACATGACGATGCGTGGACGGAAGAGAAGCTACTCGTTTATGATGAACGAAAGTCCATCGATCATACGACAACAGATATACGAATGGGTTTTTCATAATAAACCATATGAACTGGGTAATTATTTACGTGACACTAACTGTATTTTCACTGTTTTCACTGAGATGCATCAAGTCAACGACCAGAACGTAAGTTTGTTAATGTTGGCCTCTTTGAATGGATATGATGCGGTTGTACGTGTCTTACTTCATTATTGTCCTACCCAAATCAACCAAACTGAACTGAAAGGAAATGTACAAAGCATTAATGGAGACTTAATACATAATGCAACAGCTTTGTGGTGTGCTCTTGATCGAGCGCATTTTACAGTTGCACAAAATTTGATTAGTCTGGGTAAAGCGAATGTCAAAAATGGTCCAACTCATTCACTTTTAATTGATGCTATCATTAGAAATAGATTCGACATCGTTCGTTTTCTGATTGAGAATGGTTATGCCGACGTCAATGAAACAACGATCAGGGGTCTCAACAAGAATAGCGGTCTCTTGATAGCTGCTGCCCATGACAATACAGAAATTATGGCCTATCTCATAGAAAAAGGTGCCAGCATTGATTATATAACGACTTACCACAGAAACACACCACTTTCTACTGCTGTTATAAAAAGACATCTAGCATCAGTAAAATTATTATGTAAGGCGGGAGCCTCTACTAGTGTGAAAAATCGTTATGGACAAACTCCACTGACATTAGCAGCAGAGAGTGGTCGATTAGATATAATGAACGCTTTACTCGAGTATAATCATGACGAAACTATTTTTGATGATCTTGAATTATTTGCTGCTTCCTATTTAGCCTTCGACAATTTTATTGGACCCCACGAATCTGAGAAGATGCTGAATATTTTACGGCAATCAATACAAAGCCGTCTACTATTTAACATACCGAAAAACGTTGCTGAACCTATTGCTGCTTATGATTTTTATAAAGAATGTCAATCCATCGATGAATTGAACCAGATTGAACATGATAATAATCGGTTATACATTGAAGCTTTGCTTATTCGAGAACGAATTCTCAAGCCTAGAAAAAGTTTATCATTGTTTACGCCTTTACTTGATCGAGTAATCTTACTTGTTGAAAAGAAGGAGTTCGATCGTGGATTACATCTTGCATTTCATACATTTCATCTTTATCAACAAATGAGACTTGATACAAATCTCCATCGTTTTGTCTGGATTTTCTGCAGGATACTTACCGCAAACGTACCTTTTCCAGTTGATCATTTTTTGAAAGCATGCAATCTGATCTTTGAGCCATCACAGCAAAAGCCAGGTGATGCGAATTTAAACAATGCATTATTTTTGGTGATCATTGCTTCAAAGGTATGACTAAACCTGTGTGAGATATTGAAACGAATTGAGAAAATACTTGTTGTGAATGCCTATCCTATTTGATTTGCTCTGAACAAACCTTCCATGAATTATTTCTGCGCTTTTCTAATTCCTTAATTGCAAAAGACATACAGATAAAATCCATGATGTCAAAAGATCTCAGTCCTACGATAATATGGACAATTTAGTATGATTATCAATTCAGTTGATTTGTTTTTCAAAATTAGAAGTTTGTAACTTTAAGTTACTATTCAAGTCTTGTTTTAGGTTCTCAAGCAAACAACATTGAGCAATACAGATCGTCGTTCTATTGTTGAATGGATCCGACAGCTATGTTGTCAACGACGTACAACACCAAGAGGACAAACTTTATTACATCTGAGTGTTGATCCGCAAACAAACCACAATATAACTTACCGGCAAGTGGACATCAGACCTATCATTGTGTAAGTAATTTCAATCAAATACAATTTAAAATTAAGAAAAGAAAACAAACATATTTCTTATTCAATTTCTGTTTTCTAGTTTTCCTAATTTGGCTGCTACAAAGCTTCTGCTTACGTATGGAAAACAATGGGTTGATGTGAACGCCACAGATGCAATTCTAGATGACACTGCTTTACATCTGGTTTCCCGTAGTTCGAAACAAGATACAAATGCGGACTCATTGACAATCATCAAAGTTCTACTTAATGAAGGAGCCCATGTTGATTGCATGAATGAAAATGGTCAAACACCATTAGCTGTAGCTAAGCAAAGTCAAATTCAAAATCTTTTACAATCAAAACAGAGTCCTCCACGATTAAAATGCCTCTGTACACGTTTAGTTGTTGATCAAAAACTAGACTATGAACGTTTATGGCCAGTACAGACACACTTGTACAGTTTCATATTGTTACACGATTACTTGAGACGTAAAATTTCAATTTCACAAATCGATTCAAACTAGCCCATCAATTTATATGGCAGCAACAATATTGCTTGTAAAGAATCTATGTTGGATTACTGTTGTTTCTAATCAAGATAAATTACAAAATCTTGTAAATAAATACATAAGAAGTTTTGATTTTCATATGTCATTCGAAGTTAAAAGCTAATTGATAAAGATTCAGCTATTAGCATTAATATGAGAAGCATAAATATATCTTTTCGTCATCTCCTGAAAACAGTTCGTTTTCTTCATATAGAAGTAAGTTCTGCAAAAAATGTTTACTCTATAGTATAAAACCAGGATTGAATATCGACGATCTCAAACTAAGTTTATGTTGTGGTTGAAATGAAATCGAACCAATAACAGATGCATTAATCATCGAAAAACAAGTACTACAAATTCAAAGTATTGTACCACTAATGAAGTCGCTACCGAATCTTTTTGCATGGTTCATGTAGCTATGATATATTCCAGAGAAAGATGTCAATGAAATCAAATTACTTATTTCTACGCACAATCGTATTGCAATTAAGAAAATAAAAACAAAATCGTAAGTGACATGTATCATATTTGTCAAAATCTTATTATTGAAACTAGTGAATTGTATTTTGAAAAGAGAGAAGCATCTCAATTGAGATAATGTTATAGATTGCACAAAAAACTGCGTGTCTTCTAATTTAGAAAAAAAAACAAAGACTCAACTAAAATAATTGATATAGAGAGGTGCTATATATATATATATATCAAATCAAAAGACCATTTAATAAACATGTTAGCATTAAACAATAATATAGTGGGATAAATAATAAAGTTAATTCTATTATCAATAAACTGAAACTGCAGGGCATAATATTCAGCATAGTTCTGTTGAATAGCTTAATCACTTCAAATATTTCCAATGATATTTGCAGTGTATAACCACAAAGAAATATAGCTAATATAAAATAGTAAATTATTATTCTGCGCGAAATAAATAGAGGTTTTGTGCCCATGTCAGTCCGTCATTCGGTAGTTGCACTTGATCAAGTATTCTTGTTTGAAGAATTCTACATAGATATCTTTGCTTCATGAACTCATCGATTTTTACTTGACAATATTCATGAAAAATGATATCGGAAAAGAGATTTACTAATGTAATTTTGGATGTGACTATGAGTTTTGTCTTTAATCTCTCACCAACACCGACATAGTTGACTTCGACTGATAAAAACATTGAATTTGCACAGTATATATAGTGATCTTCAACCGTATCATCCAATTAATAAACTTGTCTAACTCAAGGTCTAATTATTCTGGATGGATCCTGGTAGTGCTTATAAAAAATAAGAATTTCAATTTAGGCCAATATTACTCTAAGCAGAATCGAAATTCCGATTTCATTCGAATAAATTCAACATTTGATTAGACGCAAACTCATATACTTACAGATTTTACAGCAGTAAAGTAAATGAATACAAAGAACAAAATCTTATTCAATAACGCTCGTGCCGGTAAGCAATATCAATACAAATGTATGGGACGCACTAGAGTAAAATAAGTTTCTGAATTAAGCTCAGCAATTGGTTATCAAATGATTAAGAGACGAGTATGGTACAAGACGAAGTTCAAATATATTGTTGAATAAGAATAGTTACTCTATTCAACTTTTATTTATTTTGTTTCTATAAAATTCTTCCTAATTGAATCTTGCTTTCGTTCGGACATGATTAGAAGTTAATTTCTGCCTGAGAGATTATTGATCTAGAATGAAATCTCGATTTTTTCTGACCAATTTTAGATTCAAAATTCCGACTGCCAAATCCATATTCGACCAAATTGTAGCTCTATTTCCCACATATTTATAATACATTTATACGTGCACTCATTTGTTCTTGAGTGTGGGTTAATTATTGACTTGTTTGAGAATCAATCAGATCCATAGCTAAAATAGTACTGATCTTATTCTTTCACTTTCCATTAAAATTCATTTGTATTTCTTCTATTTCCTTTGGTGCTTCTTTTATTTTTTTTACGCTTAATTTTCTGATAGACTGATTAATCTTAAACGAATAAAAGTCATTTCTTGCAGCCACAATAAACAGATCGTCTTATAGTTAATTATTGACTCTGTTACTACTATGCAAGTCATTTATTTTATAGACCGAAGATTATGTTCTCCTAAAAAAATGACAATGGTACGAGTTCTATTTCATTTTTTATTCACTCTATGAACCTTACCTGTCAGTCAATATCAGTTTAAAAGACAAAGCCTGCAATAATATGTTTTTTTTTCATTTTCTTCACTCTAAACTATATAGTATCCGGGTACTTTCATAAGATGGCTGCACTTTTAATAGTGTGAATATAGAAGATGCATGACATAATCATTTTGTTTTAGAATTGAAACACACGTGAGATAAACAAGAAACTTTTTTTAAGCCGAACTCATTTACAGTAGAGACGCGTATCTTTCTTTTCCTTCGTTCGCATATTCTTTTAGTCGTGAAAAGATCTACATGAGATAACTAAACAATAGACTATTTGCACTTCTTAGGTAACTTTAGAAATACATGTTCGTTACTTCTTTTGTTCATCTCATTATCATTAGTGATAGCGACGCAAAAGTAACATTGACGTAGATAATGTTCAGCTGCCGTTTATATATACATTTTTCTTATCTGTAATGATTTCTGTTTTTTTGAGATTTAGTTTATGCTCCCATTCTTTTACATTATAAAAGTAAGGAATGAACTATAAATGATGGACTTCTCAGTATTTTGCATCTATTTTAATAGTAGTCAAATGTAAAGAAGAATGTTTTTTTTCTAAAAGACGAATTTTGTAATTCTTCATAATTTAACCTATTTCGATTGATTCGATTGGAATTTGTTACTTGACGATCAATGACATAACAGATGTGTCTAAAATTGACAACTTTAAAAAGCGAACCTTTCTATCACTTTGAATTAGTTAGAATATGTGAAATTGTAGATAATCAAAGAGCAAATCTTGTAGAAAACTTATATGCTCTTAACTTCGTATATAAGTGTCAACATTACTACTTGTTCTTTTCTGTTTTGCAATAATTTATGTTCAGAATCAGGTACTGTGAGAAGATATTATATAGTAAATGAGTTCTTTACTTCTATCACACTTCTAACACACGATATTTCATTGAATTTTAGGGCTGTTTGAAAAGTTATGGAGTAATACATTTTAGTAAGATTTGCTGCTTTAGAAGCATTTTTTCCAAGATAAATTTCATGAACTTCTGAGATATCGTCGTTAGAACTAAGTTTCTTCCGATTTTTCAAGTACCTCATAGTAATAGGAGAAAATAACGTAATCAAGTTGATTTTCTTATATTTTTATTCTTCCTATAGAACAATTTCTACCCTTTTCTTTCTCTTTGCATAGGCAACATGGATAACACATCTTTATCGTCTTCAATAAATTTTGCCTTAATAAATCAATCAATTAATCGCTATATACCTATACCTCTCTTGTTCTTTGGTATAATTGGAAATATTTTAAATATATTAGTATTAGACGAAATGTATTACGTCTAATTTAAGCAATGGATCACTGAAACAAATCATATAATTTGTATACAAAAAAGTTTATTCTAACTGTTTGATTTTGTAGGTTGTGCTGTATTGGTGAAAGCGGATACAAACTTTCACGCACGTCCACACATCGACATCTAAATTTACAATCATATGCATTTCTTGTTCTACATGTATTGTCCTTTCTCTGTTTAAGTTGTTGTCTATTTTCCTTATTTCTTGTGTATTTTCTGTTATTTTTTACCGTCTGTGGTCTTTGTAAATCGTTTGTTTCTATTTCATATAATAAAATAAAATCAAGAAACAGTCCTGGATATATTGTGCCGCACGCTTAAGTAACCAAGTAGAACTCTAAAAGAAACTGTCTTCAATCAGTACACTATACCACAAGATAGTGGAAAGGTATAGTATTCTTCTTCTGATTGTTTGATGTCGACTTATATTTATTTTTTGGTTTTGCATTTCTATTCTACAGAATTTGTAAAATATTAATAGTCATTTAATTTATTAGATCATATAATGACTCTTTTTTGATCGAAAGATGATTTTAAATAGTTAACGATGTCATTTTGCTTTCATTTATTAAAACTTGTCAATGTGATCCTATGGATAACCAAGATGTAGAACTCAAAAACTCTAAAAATCATGCATTTATATCACATTGTCTGACAGGGTAAGATAATTCAGAGTGAGTAAATGATACGCGCGCGTTATGAAAATAGAATTTACTATTTTAATAATTTATTTCATTCATTTAACATTATTCTATTGAAAAAAAAAAAACTTATTTCCATCATCGCGGGCCCCTTTCATAGATGAATTGTTTTATGTTAATGATAATATATACGATACGTGCTATAAGAAGCAGCAAATATCATTTTATTCTTCATTTCGTCGAAAGTTCCAGAGTGTTTTTACTACTGTTATTATTGAAATGTCTTTTTTACCGCTACCATGGTTTGGTGAAGAACTGCGAGAACATCAATTTAATTTTGTATATTATTTTCCATGAATTCTTTTAATTTATGAACCTATGACGTCACTGATTAAGTACAGCTAGTGAATAATACCATGAGTGCTCAATAACCACCATCAGGTTGATCTGGGATCGAGATCGAAAAATTCTAAATCCGAAGGGTTTTAGTTTTCACTAAAGCATTGGAACATGCTATTACAAGAGGGTATTTTTTGATAGAGCTGGTGTTTCAGTGTTGTAACTAATGATAATGTATGATATAAATATTTTTTTAAATTTTTGATAACATAATTTTTGAAAGATTTTGAACAAAAAAGTATCAAATCTTCTTGTGAACAACGATATTTGAAGATAAATAATACTTATCTTTATATTTTATTAGAAAACTAAAACGGATATTGAATATACAGTAACAGAAATTATTAAACTCGTGCTGGTCAAGTAACAAAAACCGATTATCAATTTGATGAAACAACTGTTATTGAACCATCAACGAG